ACGAATTCCAGAGAACCTGTGGTATCACTGATTAATGTCGTAAGACAGGGCAGCTATTTATGGAAAATAAAGAAAACCAACCTACGCAGCCTAGATATGGAGGCACAGGGTTATCTTGAAATTCAGTTGCTGTACATTTGGTCGAGACGAGGTATGCATTAGATACTGATTCGGCTTTCACCATAATTTACCGGGTCTTACAATACAAATCAAAGAATGTTCGAATTAAAACGTTACTAACAGATGAGGCATAGTCCTTCGCAAATTAAAACCAGAAGGTTGTGCTCAAAAAAATACTTCTTCAAGCAGTCAAACTCCTTTGACCGAAGGTGGACAACATCACCTATGACCGAAGTGATGAACCGAATTAGTTGTCGACGGTTACGTTATCCGTCTGAACAAGAGAACTGGGGAGAAAATTGTTTCTCCTCACTCCCTTAACCTCATTCATTGACCTACCCTATTGGGACCCAGACATTAATCTACCGTAATTTTCGAACACATAGGTGTAATGGCTGGAAAAAAATTAATCGCACACGTTCTGCGTTCTGATTATGTATTGGATTGCAATGGTCTGTGCAGGTAACTATGTCTAAATTTCAGTCAAAAATAATTGGGGGTGAAAATGATGCAAACGATAAAACGTAAATAGAAGTTCATCTTTTAGGATTCTCAGTTTATGATGTTAGCCGAACAGAAACTATTGAATACAGATAAATGTTTATAGGAGATTATATGCAACAAAGGTGGCATCTGGTCGTGGCACGAGAACAGTAGACAAATAAATCGGGATGGAGCAAACAACTGGGGTTATAAAGAAACTTATGGACATAATTCTCTGGGCATAAAAATTCTGTGGTCGATGTCTGCTGGATCCACTGTTCAACCGCGAAAATAATTCAAATGATTTGAAGCGTCTACATGGTTGTTCTTGGTCAGACATACGATCGAAACGAGCGCCTCTTACCTAAACCCCAACACTGATATGGGAGAGGAACCAGGACAGGAGAATAACAGTCAGCCTGAAATGTTCATAATGACACGATAACCCAACATAAGTGGGTAAAATGGGTGTACGACAACAATGCGGTGAGGCACCAAACAGAGTGCCCTTGACACTCTGTGAACCTCACGAGATGATTGGTGTTTCGGTCGTCAAACGTCACCGATTAGATCGGGTCTTTCTAAACCCCGTCCGGTCCGAATGATCTTACTTCTCCCTAAACAAAGAAAAGTGCTGTTTGAGTGACTTACCGAGCGAGGATGAAAGTTTTGTTTGGATGGAGTGGGTCGTTCCCGCCCCACCCTGGAACGTGATGTTCACGATCGAGTGTGCGTCTTAGTCGCGAATGAACCAACTCGGCTTTAATTGACCTCTGTCGTTCGGCTAAGTCAGCGAATCACGTCAAGATGGATCGATAAATCGGTCACTGTGCCCAGATATGAATGTTGGGAAGAATCATTACATGAGTGATTCAATAGTAACCCGTGAGTAAATTCCATTGAGGCCGAGTTTCTCTCTAATAACACTGATTCCTTTGAACCAAATGCAATCGGTTACATATTTCTGGCATTGAAATACACACTTGCAAAGATACTTAACAATGATACAAGGATACAGAGAAAGAATTGACAGTATCTCATCTGACTAGTAAGATCAAGTTCGAACCCATTCACTAGCCAACAGAAATCACATTTTCTGTCATCCCCGAACTGACTATTACATTTAGTCCAGAATGCCAATGGCAACAGTTTGTCATCTGAATCTTATTCCTTCCCTACTCAGCTTCATCGCATATGTTCTTATCCTTATTCTATCATTGATCAACCCGTCGCATCTTTTCACATCCGGTTTGCGTTGGTTCGATCCTGATGGTTTAGTGAATGAGACGTGGTGATAAGAATGAGTGGCAGTTATCCATGATTCACAAATGACGATAACTCTGTACTGGGTGCTCCATGGGATATTGGGTTGAGATGGGTTAAGTATTCTACCCATGGTTGCCTTTACAGTGATCTGTTAGCTAGTGAATGGGTTCGAACTTGATCTTACTAGTCAGATGAGATACTGTC